TCAACAAAAACGGCAATGACTTAGTTGCCAACCAAATATATTAAAGACGAAATTAACTTGATTCTGCTTGAATTCTTGGTAAAAAGTCTTCCGAACTCCGAAAATGCTTATAAATGTCTTCCTCTTTCCAAAATGCATGACAAAGATCGAGTGAAATTCGCCTCCCACCTCAAGCCTATTATTATATTCTGTGATTTTCCGTCATTATGTAGAAAAATTTCAAAAACGCTTACTGATTTCGAGTGGTCTTCGAGAACTTCCAAGGCTGACCTCTTTGTCAAGTCCCCAGAATAGTCAAAGTAAGTGATACTGTATTTGATGATCTAGGTAATCATTGCACAAATTTGGATTCAAATTCGACAGTGGCATGAATGGAGAGGAATCTGGTAAACAGAAAGAATGGGGGATGAAAGCAGGATATTGAACTGATTCCTGCAATAATTCGTGAATCGGAGTCAAAATCGTAAGTAAAGACTGGTGAGAAGACCGAGAATGAAGATATTCGTTTGAAACCAAAATTGATCGTAGTATAATGCTCAAGGTATCCTGAGCTAAAGTTCGGGATTGGAAACACAAAATGCGGTTAATCGAAAAGGTTATGACAGAAATAATTTAAGATAATACCCTGAATTTCCTGACAACCGAAAGCTTGATGGAAAACTCCAGTGTGGTTGTCAATGAGAGAAAGAATTGAAATAATGCTGAGTCACTTGAATGTACTCTAAAGTAAGAAGCTATTTTGCAGACAGATGACTAACTTTTACGAAGAAAATAGTAAAAGGATTATGTTGAGAAAGAAATTTATATTTTTTTGTAAAATTATTACAGAAATACTTCCCCATGGGAAAATAAAACTGATAGAATTCTCCCCACTTATGATAATATTTCCATTTTGTCTAGGTAAAGTTAAATGACCTTGTTGAAAAAAAACAGGCGACATTTGTACAGAGATTCAAAAATATGTGAATATTAAAAGGCATTTATACGAAACTTAAATCGAATATTTGTCATATATCTAGCTTCATTGCTTCTCAGTCATGTTGGAATAAGTTGTGAAACCTTGGCTAAAGAACATGCTAAGTTGTCCTTCGATGCAAGAGTTGCAAAAAATTCTGCCTACCCCAGGTAGATATCGAAGACATAAAATACGACATCATCTAGCATGCATCGATTCTCATTTACAGTGGACATATAGTTCAACTTAGGGCATTATTATGTGACATTTTTACTCTCTCCCCCAAATAATTAATATATTAAAAAGGCTTTAAGCTAAGCATTTTCACCATAATTAACCAGCATATTTCTGGTATCTTATCCGAAATGTTAAATGAGCGAACGTAATGAATACTTCGGATTTAAAATAGTGAAGAATATATCACAGCGATCTCCAAGTAATTCGTGCTTTTAACAAGAAAGCATCGAAAATAATTATTCAACACAAAATATAATCATTTAGGTCATCAAAATTGTTCCTTTTCATATAAAAACCTTGACGATAAAAAAACGGGAAAACATTTTCATAATTCCCTAATTTAAGTTGCTATATTTCATCGCAAATTTAGTTTCTTGGCTTTTTAAGATAGCATACCATAGCAATACCATATAGTCTGAATCTTCAGATTGGCATAATAGGATGATTTATCGTAGGGTATTTACAAAGTAGTTAGCATATTGATGAAAATTCTTGGGTGGGCATAAAATAATGATAGTCATCATCCTTTGAGAAGTAATAACTTCGATTTGGCAGAAATGCTATTTAGTAAAAACATATTCCAATAAGATTGGAGCAGTAATTGCCTCAAATCAAAAATTATGCAATTGGTCAATTAGTTAAAACCCTTTGACAAAGGAGAATATAAATTATAGTCGGATGGGTGGAAATGATTAGATGCGTTTCCCCTCTGACAACAATTAAGCCTTACAAGCCGTTTAATAGATGAATAAATACCAATAAATAGGTATGAAACTTAATAGGGTTTAAGCAATTCATTTCTTTATAATGATTTTAAGAACAGGTTACTTAGGCAATATTTGCTTTAACAAAATAACTTGAACGTCATCTACTATAAAATCGTATCACTTTAAATTGTCAAAACTAGTACATATTCTAAATGCAATTAATTGAAGTATTCACGGATAAAATAAAGATAGCATAAATGATAAAATGTGCCATAATATACCTTTTCGCTACTAAAGGAACATTTTTATGGTGAAATAATTTAAGAGTTTTGATAAAGACAAAAAATGTGTTAAAAATTAAAGATAATACATTTTGATACATTGTTTATGTGCACCAATTGTTGACCATCTTACTTTCGATTTTGAGAGGTTTTCCACGATCTGCTAAAATATTGATATATTTGAGGCCATAATAGGCTAATATTTTGAAGAAAAATATTCCTTTAACTTTGGTATTGATAAACCCTTGGAAATCTCTGGCTCTGAAATGGGAGACGATATAAATGATTATACATCACAATGCAACTCTGAATCCTTCCTTGAAAGTATCAATATTGATACTGGTAGGCAACTATGTCATCTAAGGCTCTTATATTTTCACTTTTATTGATGTTTTAATTTATGCTAGTTTTTAAACCAGCGATTTAATTTACTTATAATTTCTACTATAATTGCCATAGTAGTATATTAAGTATTCTTCTGATATTTCCAACCACCCCATTGCTTCAGTACTCCTCGACATGGACATTGATGCTTTTTGTGCTTTCTTTTCACATAGGCTCCGAGGAACAGCCAAAGTTTGTGGTGAATCTTGATAGTTAGTTTTCCCTTTTTTGGTAAATTTATCTCCTCTAGCTCTCGCCGATGTTCCTGCTCCTCAAGCAACTGCAGACCAAAATACTGGATCTCCTAAATCACCGTCTTCATCTATGGCACCTATGGCTCCACAATACACACCATTTATGCAAATTGGCAAGCCAAAACTACGACCTAGGGGCTCCTATAAACCACTTAATGAAATGTAAGTTTAATTTCTTTTCTTCTATTGTAAATCAATGTTGATGGAATTTAAACTTCTTAACCAAGCTGTAATTTTATGAAAAGCGTGCACAATACGCAAGTTTAAGGCATTATAATATTTAAATGACCTTACTGAATTTGACTTGGGCACTTTTATATTGCAATCGGAGCATACTTGTGTAGCACCTTTGTATATGTTATTGATATGAAAGTTTTAGTAGCCAACAATACTTGTTATTTGTTGAAATAGCCACCAACAGTGTATATGCTAACAATTGTGTTATGTACTAATCCGTTGATCTATTTTGATCAATTATCTTCATCGTGCATGACTGTTAAGCGGTCAATATTGTCTAACATCTTGATAATTCAGCTACCAGGTACATTTATTTTATTTTGGTAAATTCTGTAGCCTTTTCAATTCGCTTGTATTTCTTTAGATTTCTTGTGTTATTTTCATTTTCCCATAGTTGAAACTTGCATTTAGACATGTTCCTGCTTTGCAAATACTGTTCTCCCGATTTTGACTAAAATGGGCATTTTAGAGCAAATATTGATGAAAGCGTTTCATAATACCTATTTTGAGCAAGAAAACCACACCTTGGAACTCCGATAATTTGCGTTCCATTACCCCTCTTGATTAGTTTTAGCTAATTCTTTTGGTTGGTTCTCCCGGATATTGATTTATTGAGCCGAAAGTCCATTTCACTATCCTTTCTTAAGATATTGTTCTTTTATTTGAACTTTCTCCCTAGAGTTGAGACGCGTATTCGGACTTATGAGGGATCTGATTCACACTCTAAAATATCAATGCTTCAAACGCATTTCCCTCAATTCAAACGTTGTCATATTGATCGTTGCTTTACCAAAAATCTCCTGGATTACAACAAAACTTACGCGGAACTGTTTGAACTCCAAAAAAAGCAACAGGAGGAACGGGCAAAATTTAAGCTCATTTTAACTCCTAAAAGTAATTTCCCCTTTCTTGCCATTTTGTAGTCGTTCTTAATGGTATTTCTCCCTTTACGGCCTCTTCTGATCTTTTTAGCGGAAAAGCCTAAGCCCTCTCGTATTATCCCAAACATAAAGTCACCAGAATTGATCAATATGCCTTCAGTTCGTGGTCGCCCTGCGCGAAAGTTGGAGAATAAGTATTACCGTCGTGTTATTGTCGGTAAAGATGGCTCGGTCGAACCTGCGGAGATTACAGAACGCAATTATGTGAAGAATGCCGATCCATACAATCGTCTACTGTCGAGGCAAAAATTGGCAACCCCTAAAAGTATCTCCTTCCCTGGTCTATCGGCTACTGAGGCAGCGGAGGAGAATAAATCAACTGTAAGTTGCACTGTAACTAAATTATCTGCTTAAATAGAATAAGTAGCATGATATTTCGTGTTTATCTTGGTGTTCTTAATCTAGTGTCTATGTGGTTAACAAATTCAGTTATTATTCATTTTATTTTACTGGCTTAAATGGGTGTTTATTTGGTCAGTGATTTTTATATCTAATATTACCGGAGTTTTCCGAAAGTCCCCCCATCCGAATAAGGGCCCCGGTATTTAAATAATTAACTTCATTGACTAAGCAAAGTGTTACTTTTTCTCTATTGAGAGTGCCTGGACAAAATGGGAGGTATAAACGATTTAATTGATATTCGGTTTATGTGGTTAGTCCTGGCCAAAAACTTCACATTGGCACTAAAACCGTTAGATTTTTTGCATTTTTATTTCCGCCATAGTGCTTTATGTTATTTTTTTATGGTTGCTACTTCAAAATTCCAGGTGATATGATTTCAAATGGCTCTCTGGCCATCCAATTTTTTTCGCCGACATTTAAAATATATATCAGCTTGTAGGCTGTTTTTGGTGATGCATTTGCCATCTTTCCTTTACAAGGAGTGAACGGCACTGAGCGCGTCCATGAAAACGTTCCCTTTTTTAAGTTTGTTATTTTTTGGTTTCTTGCTTAGTTATCGTGGAATATACTTCTTGTTGCGATTTTTTATTCTACTTAAACCATCGTTCTCACCAAACATCTAGTTTACTTCTGGATTGAGCTGCGATAAATTTCGGTAATTGGTATTCAATAATAGTGGGGTGACTTTCCCAAAGGGCAAGCCTATGCTTCTGCCAGCTGAAATTTACTAGATCCGGTTATCTTAAAATTGCTACTAATCTCATCTGTTCTTATTTGTAGCAGAATTGAGTTCATCAGTTAATTTGTCCTAAATATTCATGGAAGCAACATCATCCATGAGCTTGGTAGTCAGATTTGAATGTTGGAATGCTTTTTGGCAATTCATTCAGATCTTAATACTTGATGCTCAAATTTCATATTTTTTGCTGTTTTTGTTGTACCCCTTTCATGTCCTTTTAGGTCCATTGCTTGTTTAAATGAATTTCCATGATTGCAAATTGCTAAAGCTCTCCCTATTTTGTTGTGGTCAATAAAAGTGGTCTGCTTATTTAATCAGCTTGCTCTTTTGGTTACATCATCATTTATATGAATTGAACGGACAGAGCATTTAATTCCGAGGTTGTAGTTGTCTTGTTTTCAAGTGTCAGATAAAATTTGAATTTCGTTTCATTAGAATTTCATGCTTTTCACAAACATGGTTCTATTCGATCCCCGTTTTCAACATATGCAAAGTTGTTATCTTAAACCTAAGAGTGTCTGATTTAAGATGAAATTTTCGCAAATTGAGAAAATAAATAGCGCTTTTTAACCCTTTCTCCAAGCCATCGAAGTCATCCGAAACAGAAAAGCCTACAACTGAACCCCAGGCCGAACCTTCAACATCACAACAAGATTCGGAGAAAGGCGCCAGCGGTAAGGTTCTCACTGGTAACAAATTTTTCCGTTCCAACCGCCTCTCCGACGCTGAGTTAAAGAAACGAGATTATGTTGCCAGGGAACTACAGGCAACCGGTCGCACTACTCGTTCCTCATTCGTTAAAACTGAGCCAACTGGTGGAGGAGATGGTGCCGAGGATGAGGCGAACTTCATGGCTGGTGTTGGTGTTGTCAGTGCTCATTGTGAGTCTTATTTTGATGTCTTTAAATCTAAATGTAAAATGGCATCATTCCCATAGAATCACTTTTATTGTCTCACTAATTGTCATTAAATGCCACGGTGACTAAAATAAAAAATGCCCAACTTCCACATTTTAATATCTAGTTCCTTCGATTTTGAATTCTAATTGGATTTTCTTTGGACTCTTTTCCATGTAAAAGTGAATCCAGACTTCGTTCTTACTTTTAATCTTCAAAATGAGTCTGTTAGCGTCCTGCTTGTTTACCTTTAGCTTTTGGTGATATGGAGATTTCGCTCCTCGTTAAAAGAATCTAAGAGGAAAAAAACTGGTTCCATTCCTCTCCCATTATTTTTGTGTCAGTTTGAATTTGCTTGGGCAAAAATATTCAAATACCTGCTTATTAAGCTGATTGTTAAATCTTTGCATGAACGATTATAATTAATACATTGCCATTATATTAGCTGGAAAGATGAGTTCTCTTTTGGATCTTCGTACATTTTTATACTTTATCCATTTTGCTTATTAATTAATTAATTAATTTATTTATTTCAAATGGCAGGCTTTATGATATTT